AGTAATGTTCTGTGGGGAAAGAGATATGCCGTAGAGATTCCAATCGGAGGCCTCTGGATTTTTTTCTTGCCGGAAATCAAACCAGGAACTTGCACATAAGTGCCTGTGCTCTGATGTCCCACCCGATGGAACTATCTCCATCACCCCCGCCCCAGCCCCGCCCCAATTCTTTTGGAGGGAAGCCCTGCTTGTTTGTTTATTTAGGTTTCTGGGCCACACCTGGCAATGCTCGGGGCTCTACACTCAGGAATTAACCCTTGGCAGTGCTTAGGGGACCATTGGGATGCCAGGGATCAAGCCTGGGTCAGCCATGTGCAAGGCGAGCGCCCTCCTTCCTATGCTCTCTCTCCAACCCCTGGGAAGCCTCTCATAAAGCCGAGCTTTCTGAGGCTTTATTCCACTCATTTAATTTGGGGAAAAAATGAAGGAATACACAGTTTTGTATGAAATTACGGATGTGTAGTATTTCTTCTACAAGAGGCAAGTAAAGACTAGCAAGTTGGTTTAGCAAGTAAAGACTAGCAAGTCTTTCCCGTTTTTTTTTTTTTTGTTGTTGTTGTTTGTTTGTTTTTCAGAAAGGTGTTTTGGGTGGTAGCCAGCTTGCAGGTGGGTCTCAGCAGTGAGGAGGAGGTCAGTCAGGCTCCCCGCCCCGCCACTGCTGCCCCCTAAGGGTCTCTGGACATTGTTAGGGCATATTTCTGAGGATAACTTACGAAGAGTTTATTCTAACTTGGTTTTTTGTTTTTTTTGTTTGTTTTGTTTTTGCTTTTCGGGTCACACCCGGCGACACACAGGAGTTACTCCTGGTTCATGCACTCAGGAATTACTCCTGGCGGTGCTCCGGGGGTCCATATGGGATGCTGGGAATCGAACCTGGGTCGGCTGCGTTCAAGGCAAACGCCCTCCCCGCTGTGCTCCAGCCCCGTTTATTCTAACTTGGAAACTGAAGGGATGAAGGTAGTTCTTGACTTTCCTCGTAACTCATTCCCCTTTTTTTTTTAAAACCAGTGACCTGGTGGGACTTCTTCCTTGGGCGACGGGGATTGGAGAAAGCCTGTGCCCAGAGCAGCAGTTTTCCATGCGAGTTCTCTGTATAGTCACTGACCCCCGAGCCTTAGGAACAGAGTGCCGCAGGTCAAAAATCCTTTCAGGGGGGGCTGGAGCAATAGCACAGCGGGTAGGGCATTTGCCTTGCACGCGGCCAACCCGGGTTCAATTCCCAGCATCCCATATGGCTCCCCGAGCACCGCCAGGGGTAATTCCTGAGTGCAGAGCCAAGGAGGAACCCCTGTGCATTGCTGGGTGTGACCCAAAAAAAAGCAAAAAAAAAAAATCCTTTAAGGGAAAACATCAGAGTGCTGAAAAGTTAGATTTGCACAGCATTTCTTTTTTATTGTGTATTTATTTTGGACCTGACATCTGGTGGTACCCAGGCAATGCCCAGTGTGGTACTTGGGGGTGCCAGTGCTGTTGCTGGGGCAGCATATGGGCTGGGAATCTCCACCGGGTTCCTACGTGGCAGGGCACACCGAGCATCATTCTCAAACTCTTCCACAGATGCACAGTTCGTGGAATGGGTAGCAGTAACGTAAAAGGGATGTTTCATATCCAATATTCCCCCCCCCCCCCCAGTTTCCAAAGGAGGCTTTGTTTGCCCCGCTTGTTTAAAAAGAAGTGGAGTTCATGCCCAATCCAATCAGCTAATCAGTGGCTGAATAAATAGCAGTACTCCTAATTTAATAAATAAATAAATAAAAAGAAGAAGTTAGCAAGACATTCCTAGAGGTGTACAGAAAAAAAATTTTTTGTTTTGCTTTGGGGGTACACCCAGTGATGCTCAGGGGTTACTCCTGGCCCTGCATTAAGGAATCACTCCTGAAAGTGCTGGGGAGTTCATGTAGGATGCTGGGAATTGAACCCAGGTTTGCTGCTTGCAAGGTGAGTGCCCTGCCTTCTGTACCATTGCACTGGCCTGGACGTACAAAAAAATTTTTTTTTATTAAAAAATTTTTTAATAGACATCATGAAGTACAGTTGCAGACTTACACATTTTTGTGCTTGGGTTTCAATTATACAATGATCAAATACCCATCCCTTCACCGGTGCCCATTTCCCACCACCACGGATCCCAGTATCCCTCCCACCCCCCATCCCCCCTATCCCACCCTGCCTCTGTGGCAGGGCATTCCCTTTTGTTCTCTCTCTCTCCTTCTGGGTGTTGTGGTTTGCAAAAGAGGCAATGGGTGACAATCATGTTTGGTCTATTGTCTGCTTTCAGCATGCTTCTCCCATCCTGGGAGGATCCTCCCAACACCTTTATTTGGTGTTCCCTTCTCTATCTGAGCTCCCTTTTCCCCTAGTATGTGTGGTTGGCCTCCAAGCCATGGAGTAAAATTCCTGGTACTAATCTCGGCCATTCTTGGGTGTTGGTCTCCTATTTTGTTATTTTATGTTCCCCAGATGAATGCACTCTTTCTATGTCTGTTCCTCTCTTTCTGACTCATTTCACTTAACATGATACTTTCCATGTAGTACCACTTGTATATAAATTTTATGACTTCATCTTTTCTAATAGCTACATAGTACTCCATTGTGTACATGTACCAAAGCTTCTTTAACCAGTCATCTGTTCTCGGGCACTCAGGTTTTTTCCAGATTCTGGCTATTGTAAAGAGTGCTTCAATGAACAAACAAGTGCAGATGTCACTTCAACTATACTTTTTTGCCTCTCTGGGATATATTCCCAGGAGTGGTATTGCTGGGTCAAATGGGAGCTCAATTTCTAATTTTTTGAGATTCGTCCATACTGTTTTCCAGAAGGGCTGAACCAGTGGACATTCCCACCAACAGTGAAGGAGGGTCCCTTTCTCGCCACATCCACGCCAGCACCGGTTGCTTTTGTTCTTGTGGATATGGGCCAGTCTCTGTGGTGTGAAATGATATCTCATTGTGGTTTTGATCTGCATCTCCCTGATGATTAATGATGTAGAGCATTTTCTCATGTGCTTTTTAGCCATTCGGATTTCTTCTTTGTGAAAGTTTCTATTCATTTCATCTCCCCATTTTTTGATGGGGTTGAATGTTTTTTTTTTGTGGAGTTCAACCAGTACTTTGTATATCCTTGAAATTAACCCCTTATCAGATGTGTAGTTGGCGAATATCCTTTCCCATTCTGTATACTGTCTTTGTATTTTGGTCACTGTTTCTTTTGCGGTGCAGAACCTTCTTAGTTTAAGGTAGTCCCATTTGTCTATCTCTGTTTTCACTTGCTTGGCCAGCGGCGTGACATCTTTGAAGATACCATTAGCTTCTATGTCATGGAGGGTTTTGCCAACCTTGTCTTAAGTGTACCTTATGGATTCCGGTCTGATGTTGAGGTCTTTAATCCATTTTGATCTTACTTTTGTACATGGAGTTAGGCAGAGATCTGAGCCCATTTTTTTGCATGTAGCCGTCCAGTTTTGCCAGCATAATTTGTTAAAGAGGATTTCCCTGCTACACTTCACTTTTCTTGCCCCCTTATCGAAGATTAGATGCTCGTATGCTTGGGGGGAGATGTCAGTATATTCAACCCTGTTCCATTGGTCTGCCGCTCTGCCTTTGTTCCAGTACCATGCTGTTTTAATTATTACTGCTTTGTAGTAGAGCTTGAAGTTAGGGATGTTGATTCCTCCCATTTTCTTTTTCCCAATAATTGCTTTAGCTATTCGTGGGGGCTTATTGTTCCATATGAATTTCAGGAGTGTTTGCTTCACTTCTTTGAAGAATGTCATGGATATCCTAATAGGGATTGCATTGAATTTATACAGTGCTTTGGGAAGTATTGCCATTCTGACAATGTTAATTCTCCCGATCCATGAACAGGGGATATTTTTCCATTTCCTCGTATCCTCTTTTATTTCCTGAACTAGCGTTTTGTAGTTTTCTTTGTAGACGTACAAAAATTTTTATGTTCATTTTGAACCTTCGCTTTTTCAATTGTATCTCTTTTACTATCTAAGTATCAGAACTACTAATCTGACCATAAATTTAGATGAATTCTTTTGCCAACCCCCAGCTCTAGATTTTCAGTTTTTCCTCTAAAATCTTTTCATAGGGGCCAGAGCCATAGCACAATGGGTAAGGCGCTCGCCTTGCATTCCTGCCGACCCTGGTTCAATCCCTGGCACCCTCTATGGTCTCCCGAGCATCGCCAGGAGTAAGCTGTGAGCACAGCAGTGTGGCCTTAAAACAAAACAAAAAATAAAATAAAAAATTCTTCATAGCCACAGGTACATAGTTTGTTTGTTTTTTAATGCTCCTGATCCAAGTGTTCAGGCATTGTTCTGAGCGATCACTTGGATCCTCAGAAGCGCCTGCAAGCTCTCATTCCTGTTCCTGCTTTACAGATGTTGGAAGCAAGACTTGAGAAAGCCTGCTGACTTGATCAAAATCACTTCTAGTTCTAATAGTGCCAGGATTTTAAGTCATGTAGATCTACCCCTGGTGCCCATTTTCTCTATGGTGCTTTGCTCTATGACCAACTTATCATTTTAAAAGTAAAGTAAGTAAAATAAAGGCCCTCCCGTTGATCATCGATTTGCTCGAGCGGGCCCAGTAACGTCTCCATTGGAGACTGTGTTGTTACTGTGTTTGGCATATCGAATACGTCACAGGGAGCTTGACTTTTTGGTCACACCCAGCAGTGCTCAAGGGTAACCTTACTCCTGGCTCTGCACTAAAGAATTAGTCCTGGCGGTGCTTGGGGGACCATATGGTATGCCGGGAATTGAACCCCGGTCGGCCGTCTGCAAGGCAAACGCCCTGCTTGCTGCACTATTGCTCTGGTCCTCCCTAAATTCTTTATTATTTATATTACTCCTAGCTCTATGCTGAAGAATCACTCCTGGCAGGGTTCGGGAGACCATATTGAGATGCCAGGGATTGAACCTGGGTCAGCCACCTGCAAGGCAAGCACCCTGTCTGTTGTACTATTGCTCCAGCCTCATCAGCATCTTTAAAAAGAACGTTGGTTAGATGCCACGAAGTCGATGGTGATGCCTCAACCACATGCTTGTTGCCAGACCCCCTTCCATCTGTCAGGGGGAGTGCAAACCCTCTCTCCTTTCTTGCAACTTTTTTTTTTTTAATCACTAGTCTGACCTGATCCAGATTTTTTTTTTAATCAGTGCAAGAGGCTCTTGATTTTCTTCCATAACTAGTAAATTATGAAATTATTGAAAAATGTTGATATATGAACTAGATGTGGGGTAGTGAAGTATCAATCTGCCGACTTTCCTGGCCGGATGACTAGACTCAGAGTAAGGAGCCGAGCCGGGTGATCTGCCTGCTGTTTACATGAATGGATGTTTCAGATGCCAGACTCTGACGAAGACAGTGCCAGTGACTCAAGCTTGTGGAGGGCGTGTTACTAAACTTAGCCTCGTTTTTAGGAAATGAAAAAAAAAAAAAAAACAGTGGTTTGGAACAGTACCGAAGCAGTTTAACTCTAGAAGGTGGATCAGCTTTTCTCAAACTGACTAAAGGCCAGGTGTGAACTTCCTACACCCTTCGGGCTGGCCCTGGAGGGGACCCCCAGGCCGCTGTTTGCCGGAGTTTTGCTGACACAGTCACTGGTCAGCATTCTGGGAAAGGAGTTGGGTTTGCTAAGTGAATTTCCTGAGAATCAGCATCTTTCTTGACAGGACTTTTGTTCTTTCTAACCTTTTTTCAGTTACAGCCTTTTTATACCCAGTGAAACAAAAAAGGAGAATGAGGAGACTGACTCATTCTGTAACCTTAGATGTATATAATTGGTTAGTAAATATATGTATTTACTATATTTACAACACATGTGTGTGTGTGTGTGTGTGTGTGTGTGTGTGTGTGTTTACTGGAATGGAGGACCATATGTGGTGCCAAATGAACACTGTGATCAGCTGCATTGCACTTTCTCTCTGGATCAATAAATATCATATAACATATATTATACACGCACACACACATATTGGTTTGTACTGGAGATCAAGTCCAGATCCTCACACATGCCAGGCATATGCTCATCCCTCACCCCAAAAGCACCTGTATTTTTTTTAGTTTGAACTAATTACACAAGGATATGAGAGAGAGAGAAAGAGAGAGAGAGAGAGAGAGAGAGCGAGAGAGAGAGAGCACAGAGCAGAAAAGAAGTAGATAGAACCCTGGGAGGTGAATGAAAGTGATTGGGAGAACAGAGGAAGTGGGGTCTCCTTCAGGGATCTTGATAGTAGAGTTTTGGAGAAGTGATTTCCTTTCCTTTAAAAAGATGGTGTGAAATCTATGTGAAGATAAGTACCATTTAACTGACAAAACTTGATAGAAAAGGAAGTTCGACTAATCATGGGTCTCAGGTGAAGTCAGATATGAAAGTAAAGTTAGGGGGCCTGAGCGATAGCACAGCGGGTAGGGCGCTTGCCTTGCACACGGCCGTCCTGGGTTCGATCCCCGGCATCCCATATGGTCCCCCGAGCACCGCCAGGAGTAATTCCTGAGTGCAGAGCCAGCAAGAACCCTTGAGCATCACTTGGTGTGACCCAAAAAGCAGAAAAAAAAAAAAAGAAAGTAAAGTTAAAGCGATTGCCATTTTTCCTCTTGGAGTCTTGTCCGGGAAAGCCTTCTTTAAGGGAATCCCGGCTGGGTGCGGTCCTCAGGCTGGGTGGTCCCGACCCTCGGTTCTGCTGGACGCCTGCTTGCTGCTCTGGCTTCCTCGGACGATCAGCTCTTTGCTTTCAAAGCTTGTTTCCTCCTCGGCTTTACTCTTCCCCCAGAGCTTTCCCCGAGGCCGTGTGTTCGAGCCCAGTGTTCCGCTCCGGGGACCCCTCGCCTGTTTCCATGTCTCCCCCCCCCCCACCGGGTCCTGAGGTCGGTCCCCGCTCTATGATCTGCGAGGACATCAGTAGCCTTTCTGGAACCAACCGGCATTTTCTGGTTCCCGCGATGTGATACCAGATGGGGGCAGGGGGGTGGACAGGAGGGCGTTGGACCCACCGGTTTATGAGATCGTCTTTTTTTTTCCCTTTCCCGCAGGAACGGCGTGAATGTGGAGGGGGCCACCCACAAGCAGGTGGTCGACCTGATCCGCGCAGGCGAGAAGGAACTGATCTTGACGGTGTTATCGGTGCCCCCTCACGAGGCAGATAACCTAGATCCCGGCGACGACTCCCTGGGACAGTCATTCTACGACTACACAGAAAAGCAGGCAGTGCCCATCTCGGTCCCCACGTACAAACACGTGGAGCAGAATGGTGAGAAGTTCGTGGTGAGTGTCAGCCCCACTTGGCCCTCGGACCCTTAGTCCCTGTTCTTCTGGCTGCATCATGGATGTGCCTTCCTAGAGCCCGAGAGGAAGTGGCTGGTTTGAAGTTGCTGGTCTCCCCCAGAAGACGCTGCACCTTGATTTACTGCCCGGGGTGAACTATCAAAATGAAACGGAGCCCCCTATTTTGCCCGTTTTTAATGTCAAATGAATACAGTCATGTGTATTACTTTAAGTGTGACATCGTTTACTTAGTATAGTTCTTCGAGGTGTCCTCACCCTTCAGGCCCTCTCCTACCCCAGGCTTCTCCATTTTCACACATATCTGTGAACTCTCTGCCCAAAAAAGGACTAATTATATTAAGAATGAATTTCAGAGAAACTTCTTTGGACATTTCTAATCTGTTGCTATTTTGGATATTCAGGAAAGCCTGCCTTGAGGTCTGGGTGATGCACACCCAAAGGCCTTTGTTAGTTCTTCAAAACCTAATTGTCACTGATAGCTCGATCTCTCGAATTTTTCTCTTGGTCACAGTATTATCTTATTTGCCTTTCATTGTTTTGGGCGTATTGGGGCATATGAGAAATGTTTGTTATTTGTAAAAAATGCAAAGTAGATTCTGTAGCTACTGGCGGAGAGCCCACGCGTCTTCAGAGCTGCCTGCTGATTCAAGTTGCAGTTCCTGAGACTGGGACTGCCCCAGTAAGGAACCAGCCACTGGACATTTATAGTAAATTTTTTAGTGGAGAGTTTTTTTGTGAGGGTTTTTTTTTTGTTGTTGTTGTTGTTTTTTGGGTCTCACCCGGCAATGCTCAGGAGTTACCCCTGGCTCTGCACTCAGGAATTACTCCTGGCGGTGCTCGGGGGACCATATGGGATGCTGGGGATCGAACCCGGGTTGGCCGCGTGCAAGGCAAACGCCCTCCCCGCTGTGCTATTGCTCCAGCCCCAGCGGAGAGTTTTTTAACAGCCAACAAAGAAGCCAGAAAACTTCCAGAAGGATCCAGTGTTTTAAGGCCAGTGTAACGCAGCTGGAGATAGCACGTAGACTTGTTGGGGGGGTGGTCATTGCAGATTCAGAGCATCTACAGTCTAGAGTTCCGTTTTATTTTATTTTGTTTATTTAGTTTGTCAATTTTATTTTTATAAAGCCGTTCACTTCATGGGGCTGGAGCGATAGCACAGCAGTAGGGCGTTTGCCTTGCGCATGGCCGGCCCTGCCGAGCCGGGTTCGATTCCTCCGCCCCTCTCGGAGAGCCCAGCAAGCTATCGAGAGTATCTCGCCCGAACAGCAAATCCTGGCAAGCTACCTGTGTTGTATTCGATATGTCAAACACAGTTACAAGAAGTCTCACAATGGAGACGTTACTGGGCCCGCTCAAGCAAATTGATGAACAGTGGGAGGACAGTGACAGTGACAGTGATCGATTATATTCAGTATTTCAGCACCAGTCCCACTGCCAGTACACCTTCCCTCCACCATTATTTCAAATTCCCCCACCCCCCCCACCCCCAAAGCTTGCCCCACAGGCAGATGCTGAATAATTTATTTTATACTGCTTGTTACGAATAGTATAGGTTGTTGCGTGACTGGATGGGCGGGGAAATGGGGAGGGACAGCCCATACTGTCTCCATGTGGCCTGGAGTTTTCAGTCACTGGTCCCGTGTTCTGGGTTTTTCTTCTGGAGGTTTGTGGCCGCCGGGGTGAGAGTTCTGTATCTTAATGTGCTGTCGACTTTGAGACTTCAGGCATTTAGTCTTAGCATGGAAGTAGAGAGCAGGTCCTGGAAGGAAGTAGGGCAGATTGTATGTTGAGACCTTTCGGGAATTATCCAAGACCTTGGGGAACCTCTGTAAGACTTGAGAAAAGAAATTAAACTACTTTGAAAAAATACGAACTTTGGGGCTGGAGCAGTAATACAGTAGGCAAGGCACTTGCCTCGCACACGGCCCCCCCAGGTTCCATCCCTAGCATCCCACCTGGTCCTCTGAGCACTGCCAGGAATAAGCCCTGAGCACTGCTGAGTGTGACCCAAAAAAACAAAACAACCAAACTTTATTCTCATGATTTACCTCCATTAACATTTACCCATATTAAATGTTCATTTCCACGAGTTTTGATAAACGTACATAGCTTTGTAATCAACTACCACCACAGTCAAGGAATAGAATCATCTTTTTCCTTCTTTTTGCAGTTTTTGGGCCACACCTGGCAGTACTCCGGGCATATTCCTGGCTCTGCTCCCAGCCGTCATTCCTAGCTGGGCTCAGGGATCCTCATATGTTGTACCAGGGATTAAATCTGGGTCTTACATATCGTCCTTACATACAATTCTTTACTTACAAGTGTCCTACATACGGTTCTAGCTCTCCTACCCCTAGAACATTTTCTTCATTCCAGAAAGTTTTTGGGAATCATCCTTTCCCCTGTCAACTATAGGTTGTCTGTCCTATTTTTGCCCTTTTTTTTTTTTTTTTTTTTTTTTTTTGCTTTTTGGGTCACGCCCAGCGATGCTCCAGGGTTACTCCTGGCTCTGCACTCAGGAATGACTCCTGGCGGTGCTCAGGGGACCATATGGGATGCTGGGAATCGAACCCAGGCCGACCGCGTGCAAGGCAAGCGCCCTACCCGCTGTGCAATCTCTCCAGCCCCTATTTTGCCCGTTTTTAACGTCAAATGAATACAGTCATGTGTATTACTTTAAGTGTGACATCGTTTACTTAGTGTAGTTCTTCGAGGTGTCACACATTTTATTGCATAATCCCTAACTTGTTTTTAATTACTGATAGTCTTCTTTTAGATGGTTTTACTACCAGTTTGGTTTTTTATCCATTCTTCGTTGTATATTTGAAGTCTTTTTTTTGTTTGTTTGCTTTGGGGCCACACTGGTGGTACTCAGGGCTTACTCCTGGCTCTGCACTCAGGGATGACTCTTGGCAGGCTCGGAGACTGACCATATGGGGCGCCAGAGATTGAATCCCAGTCATCCACGTGCAAGGCGGACGTCCTACCTCCTGTACTGTGGCTCCGGCCCTAGAGTCATTTTTCTTTTCTGGTTTAAAATAATGGGTTATATTTTCTTGTTATTTTGTGGCAGAAGTTCTTTATGGATTCTGAACACAAGTCTCTAATCAGATAGTTGTTCCTTGCACGTATTCTCTTCCTTGCTCCTGTTGGTGTCTTGGTTGCGTTTCCTGGAGAAGCCCGTCTTTCTGGAACACGTGCTCCATCTCTTTCCCTGTCCCCACATCTTTCTGAGTTTCAGTAAACTATCTTGCTTCTCTCACACACACATTTTGTAAAGTTTTGTTTTTTTGCTGCCTTTTCATCTTATTTTTATTTTGGGGAGTTTCGAGTCACCCCCTGTAGTCCCAGCATAGCACAGGGTGAGGGGGGTTTGGCTTCCTGGTGTGCAGGGGCCCCATCGGGTATCAGAGCGAGCCTGGGCTCCAGCCTGCAATGCACGCGCCCCAGGTATCGATCTTATTTTATTTACTGGTTTTTGGATCATACCTGGCTATGCTCAGGGCTTGCTCCTGGCTCTGTACTGGGTGTGTGTGGGGGGACCATTTTGGGCTGTGAACGCAAGAGTGGGTGCACAACGCAACGCCTTCGGGTGGCTGAGTACCACCTCCCCAGGGCAAGCTCCCTGTAGCGTATTCGATATGCCAAACACAGTAACAACAAGTCTCACGATGGAGACGTTACTGGGCCCACTCGAGCAAATCGATGAACACTGGGAGGACAGTGCTGCAGTTCTCTTTCCCTAGCTACTAGTAAATATAAAACAATTAAATTTACTTCTTATTAATACTTGCAGTTATTTGGATAAACACAGTAACAGATACAGACTCCGAAACGTAGTTCTCTGGGCTCCGGGGAAGCCTGCAGGGCTTGCCCGAAGTCCAAGGCTAGGTCCTCAGGCTGGCTCAGCGTGTCCTTCCCCACGGGGGTAGGGGGATCCTGTCCCTTAAATCATAGTGGCTTGCATCAAAACTGTGCTTTTATGCTTTCTGGGCTGTCCCATTTTGACACCGGGGCAGCTTTGCCACTCGCCCAGGGTCCGTCCAGGTCCCACGGCGGGACGTCCCTTGTGGGGTGTTGGGAACTACAGCAACTGAAGCCCGAGCCCAGTAATTATGACGGATGCCCAGGAGTAGATATATTCGAGTCAGTCAACTCCCAAATATTAGGCACAGAACATCAACAGTCTTCTCTGTGTTTAAACAAAGAACATTTTTCTATAGTAAAATTTGAAAAGTTACCGGGGAAGTAGAAAAGCAAGAAATTCACTTCAGATACAAAGTCCAGAGTCACTGAGTAACCAAGCCTCTCTTGGGGAATTGTAAAGCACGAAGGAAAGGTTAAAGCTAAACTCAAGGGATTCGGAGTGCTTGTAAGAGCGCTGGGAGCTTCTCGGGGCAGGAGAAGGGGCAGTTCACTGGTGAATCCTAAAACGCTTAGGGTGAATAGCCAGCGGGTGCCCAGGATCAAACCTGGTGTGGCCCTGTACCCTTACCTGCAAGCTCCCTGCCTGTTGTACCATCTCCTGGCCCCTCTTACAGCTTTTTTTAGGTTTCTTTTTGGGTCACACCGAGGCTCTGCTCTCAGCAGTTACTCCCTGCCCTGAGTGCTTATGGGATGTCAAGGGTTGAACGGGGCTTGGCCATGTGCAAGGCAGACGCTCTGCTGTTCACTCTGATCCCTGTTTTTGCTTTTTTGGCTATTATAAGTAATGCTATAATAAACAGGCTTTTATGTGGAGATCTGTTTCTGTTTCCTGGATATGTATTTAGAAGTAGAAAAACTGTGTCAGAAGGTAACCCACATTTAACTGTTGGAGAAAATGCCAATTTTTTTTTTTATACGGACTGCAGCATAAGTTTTACTCTTCCATTTAAGCGTACGGTTTATTTTGAGTGGATTTTTATGTATTGTATGATACAAAGTCATGATCCTTTTTCCCCCACATGACTGTTAGTGGTTTCAACTTTGTTCCA